AATGCATTGTGATTTACACACGTATTTTAAGTTGGAAGGTGTCACTATTGAAAAATCCAATCGGGCCACTCTAAGTAATTCGACCACCGCAACCGTCCGTCAGGTGAAAGATTTCCTTTCTACCAACTGACAAAGATGATATGTATAGTATCAAATTTCAGGTTTCGAAAACTTTCCACGGTAATCCGCCGGAATAGTCTTGGGCATTGGTCTCTTTAAAATTTAAGAGTTTTAAACTTTAGCCACTTTGCCTATAATTTTGAACACTTTGACGTAAGAAAGAAAAATATACATACTATCCAGGTCCTTCCTTCAGCGAGGTATCATGTGCACATTTAATGAGATAGGCAGCCATTACATGAATTTAAAACAGCAAAATGCCTTTCTGTGCCTTGAAAGACATTCTTTCTTTACTTTTTATCTGTTTCAATCAATTTTACACATGTCTAAAACATTTTACAATTTTTTCCTGTTACTCAGTTTCTTGTTACTTTGTTTCTCTGTTTAGTAACACCCCGTGAATGACCAAAGCTCACAATGACAGTTTCATTTACCATGTTACCATATAAACAGGGTGTAAATTTCCTTTCCTTTCTAGCACCACTTGAGGTGCAATACACGTGAATACATGGTCTGTGATTCCATGCTTATCTTATCAGTTAGGTATGATTTGAAAATAAGGTTGACCCCTAGGTAATGAACTCTCTCGGAATCTTGTTTTCGAGATAACGCCATCCAATTAAGCAAGTGGCCAACCACGGCTTCAAGAAGTGTTTTTCCTTGAACCATTAACCAACAAAATCATAACTGATAAGCCACTTACACTAGAGAATAAGAAGTAATAAAGAAAAAAGCAAAAAGAAGACTGCAAAGGGTATTGCATATGTGGACAGCAATGTTTTTTTATGACCTTGTGTTTGCCAGTGGCACAAAAAGAAAGACTACTATAGTAATAAAATTGCTAGTAATCCCCTTCTGAATCTCTTCAACCCACTTCTGGCTTTGAAAAAGGGCTAAAGCTCACAATAATGGAAGTTTCATTAACCATGTTACCATATTAACAGAGTGTATATCTCCTTTTCTTTCTAGCACTGCTTGAGGTGCAATACAGGTGTATAAATGGTCTGCGATTCCATGCTTATCTCACTTGCAAATAAAGTTGACCTATAGGGTAAAACCTTACTTCATTGCTACGGGTGTAATAGAGGTGTATACATGGTCTGTGATTCCATGCTCATCTCATTACTTAGGTATCACTTGCAAAGAAAATTGACCTCTAAGCAACAAACATACCTCTGATTTCTCTGAATCTTTTTAGGGAGGGAATCATTTCTTTTCTGGCTTCAATCACATCAAGAAGAGCTTCTGATTTCCCTAACAAACAAAATCGTAATTGATAAGCTATTTAAATCACAGACGAGTCTTGGACCAGCAGTCCAACTTTTAATTGTTTTAATTCTAGAAAATCATAGTTTGGATTGGCTAAGGTCTTTTGACTCGGTCGCCATGGCTTAGTTGCAATTTCTTCTTTCTTCACTTTTCTAGTTGTCATCGTAAGTTGATGTCTGCTCTGAGGTGGCTAAATCGAATTTGTGAGTAACAATACCGTTCAACTTTGAGTGACTAGAGCAGCACCACAATTAATCCAACAGAAAATCGAACATTACGGGTGTGCTAGAGAAGGATGAAAGTCTCAAATGGGGTACACTTAACCAGGATCTGAGTTACCATAGCAACAAAATGACGCCATGCCCCATTTTACATAACACGGAATAACTTGCCACCAGAGATAATTTTGACAGTACGCAGTCGGGATCTGAGACTTGACATAGTTGTCTTAACAATGGCAAAATTAAAAAAAAAAAATCCATCAAAGCTTTTCCGAGAAAATTACGACTGAAGTTTCAAGGTGTCAAAATACAAAAAAACAAAGCCGTTTTAAACGTAATTTTAAACTATGTCCACACGACTTGACTAAATGGTATTCTGGTCTTAAATGAATCTTATAACATCTAATTACCCCGAGTGAAAATCTCAGAGAAATTGCTCTGCTTGACTTTCAGAAACATTGCCTTGAATATCAACTAGTGTGGGGTGTTATTTTGCTTTCTATCAACGATTGCCCCTAAAATTACTAAACTGGGAGACTTGGTCTTTGATGGGATAAATTCATAGTCAACGTAATCCCGGAGTTTCAAATTAATTGAAACATTTCAAGGCTACTATTTTTCAGTGTCTCCTCAAGAAAATATTGCGCTGATTTTCACTCATGTTGTTTCTTGTCCGCATTATAATGTTCTTTTGTCTCGAATCATCATGCTATTGTACATTTCTGTATATCACGAATTCATAAAACGTGCAATTGTTTCCGGCGCTTTTCCAAAGCATGCTAAAATATCCCATGCTAGCTCTACAATAGCAATAAAATATACGTCTTGCTTACGTTAATGTTGAACAGAAACAAGATATCAGGCATAGTGATTTTCCACTTGCACTCACAACTCATACATGTTTTAGCATGCTACGGGACAATCGCCGGAAAGCAATTGCGCGCTTTATCAATTCATGATATACAGAAATGTACAATAGCATGGTGATTCAAGACAAAACATCATTATAATAAAGACAACAACCAACACCAGTGAAAATCAGCGCAATATTTTCCTGGGTTGATGCTGAAAATAGCAGCCTTAAAATGTTTCATTTAATTTGAAACTCCTGGATTAAGCTGAATATGAATTTATCTCATTGAGGGCTGAGTTTAAAAGAAATTCATCAAGAACATTTTTAATATTTGCCTCAGTGTAAAAACATAGCCAAGTTTTCACAAAAAAGCAAAATAGCCACCTTATTTAAGTTCATATTTTTCGAAATCAAATGAAGCGATTTTGTTCCACTTTGCAGGAAATGTGGTTCATGTGTATAAAAATAACGTGCTCCAAATGCGCTTTCCGTGAGCCCGGCAAACATATACTGGAACGACTCGATTAGATTTGTTTCATGTTAACAGTCGAAAACTTCAGCAAAAGTTTTCTCATAATCACTCACATAGAATTTCTTTAAACTCGCTACACATTAGGCACACTATCTAAACTACAA